GAGCACAATATGTAATTACCAAATCACTCATGTACCACACCCCCAACCCACATAAGGAAACTCCCCTGATTTGAACATAATCTTCCGCTCCGCTCCGCTCCAGCATTTGTCCTTTTATGGTATTTGAGTCATATCTAACAGTATGAAGAGGTTCCTCCCTAGCGGTGTCATTAGAAATTGTTTCCTCGTTTTTTTTTAAGGAGTCGCCAGTCTGTCGATCGTCGTATACTTCCCTTCTCCAAATAAATCTCTCTTTCGGGTCATATGAATGACCCGGAGAAGATATAAACCAAAAAAAACTAACATACGACAAAGATGACATACAAGAGAAAAAAAAATGTGCAAAGCATACATGCGATAAACTTCGCAAGAATAGACCATGTCCGCCCAAATTAGATCGGGCGGAAATTCCTTGGACCAATATCTGTGAAAGAATGCCTACGTGGGTTACTCATAATTAGAGAGACAGGTGTAAGTGTCTGTTTTGGGGTCAAGAACACTCTCAAGGGAAACGTATCTCACTTCGTTAATTACATCTTGGGGGATGCTCAATAATACTCTCAATAAAAAGAGTTTCGTTTATATTATCATGAACCTGCATGAATGAGTCGTTAAAGGACTGGTTATTCTGTATGAAAATGTGTCGATGCTTCAAAACTCATGCTATGTCATCTGGTAGAGAGTGAGTCTCACATCCCAAATGGGCAGCGACTCATAGTATACGCGGCTTACGAAATAAGCATGGTCGTCTTGACGGGGACATCCCAATACGTCAAAGTACATCCGGACCATAAAGACAAAGGATAAATCGTCGTATCCCAAACGGGCGACAGTTTATTGGCATTGGGCCGACAAGATGATACAAACAAAGTCAAGATAAGAGACATGACTCAACAGGGGTAGTCAAAGGAAGTGAGGAGTAATCTTTAGAAGGGAGAGATAGCCGGTTAAGATACCATAGGCCCATTACTCTAAGCTACTAAGACCCCAAGTCTACTTAGTCGTGAATGTAATCGACCCAACACGTTCTGAGATTCCTGGTTATCAATCCGTGAATTGCGTCGTCCATGTGGAACCTCGGTAGCCCTAAAGTCAAATGAAGAAAAATCTATCTTATGACTATAAGCTGGAGCTCTGGGAGTTGCGATTTATACATGCCGAAGTGGCAAAGATGCCTCAAAAAAGGAAGACAACAGGAAGTTCTGCTACAAAACTGGAAACGCTTCAAGAAAATGAATTACACCCCATCTGGGTCGGGGAGCTTTCTAACGATCTAGACGCATTAAACAACCTCCTATGTAGAAAAAAATGTATGCTTAGTCAGACAGATTAGAGAGGGCTCCTCCTCAGGACATGCAAATATGAATGCAATTATTTATAACAGTCATTAATTATTATGAAGACTATTAATTATGACTTGGGGTATGCTCATGCAATGCAATCCATTTTGAATTCGCTCCGAAGAGTATGCAAGAAAGTAAAGGACAGACTTTTGGAAATCATGAATATTTTAATCATAAATTTTAATTATCTTAAATATTTTATTTAGGATTTTTAAGTATAAAATTTATAATTTTAGGGTCCTTAATAAATATAGATTATAATTTTCTCTGTATCTCAGATGCACAGAAATAAACATTAAAAACAATACAAGCATGTAAGACATAAAAAACAAAACACTATAGAATAAAACAAAAGAGGCAAAATGTCGCTCGGTCGGCAACATATCCTAGGAAAACAGGAAAAGCGGCCGGACTCCGCATATACATCTCCGGTCCTAGTTTTATACAAATATATATAATTCGGATTCAAGGTACGAGACACGAGTTGCCGCTCCTGGATCCCATCACGTTGTTTGATGAGTCATCCGCCTCAAAATCCGTGCTCATTCCTTATTTCCGATACAGACTCAGCTTAGGATTTTATCAAATATATTTGAAAAAGAAAATAGAAGACTCAACTTGCATTGCTTTACTTCGCCCAAGCAGACTCCCATAGTTTCACAAGTCCCTTCTGTTGCCGTTGCACATTCTTTAGACTCAGCGCAAGCGCTAGTCCATCAGCTTCGTCACGATCACCTTTATGGGCTGTCATCACGTAGCCACATACCGCAGGCATCATGGACTGCACGTTCGCCATCACAGACGGATCAATATACTTTTGATGTTCGATCCCATATAGTCGATGTAGCTCTGAATATGCAGGAGGACACTCTAAGATCTTAGCTCGTTCAGATTCAATCCCGGGATAAAATCCTGTATACATCGTATCAATCGCTCTTCCCGCAGGTAGACCAAGCCACTCTTTTCTAGTCGCATCAGCTATCATCAACCGTTGCACAGGTGGAGGAGTCACATCTAGCCTTACCTCCAGGGGTGAGACCAACTTTCCGTGTCTACCCAATACTTTCGCCAACCAGTAGGTTTGTCCTAATCCAAAAGGATGCGGCGCAGTTCGCACGTACGGTTCAATGTTTTGTTTCATCCTGTCGAAAACATTTGCGGGGATCTCGGTTCGCAGAGCCATGACATATGAGGTTCCAACACGCATCATTGCTGCATCGCCAGTTTGGAACGTATGGTCTTTAGCAAGATGCATAAGACCAAAAAGCGCGAGGATTTGAGCACATGACGTGACTAACATGGCGTGACTAAAGGTCTCTCATATGATCTATGAAATGCAGTAGTGATTTGTAAAGCGTCGGATTTTGGCATCTTCGCCTCGAATTGATACTGCTTAGTCGTCACTGAGTTGACACTTGGTAACATTCCTACTGCTATGCCATAGGACCGCACAAACGCAGCTAGTGGTTCGTTTCCAACAGCTGGTAGATTCAACGCCGCTATGTAACTGATTGTTCTCGCATGCAATTTAACGCGTATGCGTTCTAGTGGAACTGTATCAGCGTTCTTCCAGTCACCATCCTCAACACATGCATCAGGCCTATTTAGATATCCCATGTCGCGTATATCGCAGTTAAATTGAAGGGCGCCACTCACAGCGGAGAATACTCGATCAGGAAATCCTGCAGGATCATCACCAGCGTCTGCAATATTGTAGTAATCAGCATCATGCCAGCCAACAAACAGAGCTGCGCCAGGTGCTACGTTCATTGCATCCACTGTTGCTCTGACATGCGCCGCATCAAATGTAGGAGTGAACATCGCACGTAGCTGTGCATACGTCATTGAGGCAACTTTCCAATATTGAGTTATCAATGTCTCTTGCCTAGGTGCACGTCCGATTGTCCCTGGTACGGGGTTGATTCCAAGGGCTAACGGTATGATCAACTTCTCATCATTTCGTACATATTCTATCTTCCCCTTCTGATCCGGTAGACCAACAGCACTATTAACAGCTAGTAGCAACAAGCTCTCCGACTGCTCATACGATGGAATTTCATCATCGAAATCAATTGGTTGTTGAGTTTGCTCCCCAATCGAACTGACTGCCGACATTAGTTCTGCATCTTGTAGCATCTGTTGTAGATAGTTAGTACCAGGTGGAAGTTGCGCGGCCATGTCGAATAGAGTCAACTATGTTGTTGCAGAAATGACGGTAAGAGAATCGGGAACAGAAGTGAATGTTAGCAATGTTCAGGCTTACAGAGGTGGAAAGATGGATGTGAAAAAGGTCCGTCTTCGCAGGCGGGGAGATCCGGCCTGCGAAACCGAGCACGAGAGTCTCTGACGAGATGTCGGCGCGAGCAAGCTAGGGCACGGAAGATCGCGGCCGAAGGAGGGAGAGGGACGGCGGGAGCGGTGTCAGCGTGGCTGAGGGACGGCGGCGATGCAGGCGGCGAGGCCGGTGTCGAGCCCGGAGTCGAGGAAGGAGGCTGCGATCGAGCGACAGCGGGGTTGCCCCGCGAAGGAGAAGTCGGGGAAGCGGGTGAGTTTCGCGAAGGGAGCCCAAGCGCGAGGAGGGTTTTATATTATTTTTATTTTATTAATTTTTAATATTTGTCATTAAAAAAAAAATTTGATTTGCACATTTCTGATTCGTACGTGAAACCGTAGTCATTTCTTTATTTCAAAGCTGTTTTTAGCTCAATAATCATTGAACTTATAAAGTGATTTAAAAATTTCATCAAAGTTTTTGGTCGAGGAATAATTAATGATACAAAATTAATTTCTACACATCTATAATGATAAATTGTACACAATAAGAAGTAAAAGTCATCAAGTCATACAAATAACAAATAAATATGTACAATATTTAAATCCATGTGTATGTATATAGAGTCAAAATTTAATCATCGATTGAGTAGTCACATCTTAATCAATCATTATAACGAATATGAAATCGAATTGATCCAATCTCATGCTGACCTCATATTGTAATCACAAAAACACTTGCATAAAACAAAAAACTCAAATAGAAATATGCCAAAATATTATGTATGATGACCAAATGAATCGAAGATGACTATGTTAAGGCAATAATTTAAACATCAAATTAATACAAAAATGATAAAGTCATCATGAATATAAAAGTATACTGTATCTTTTCGTAATTAGATCAATTAGGGGGATTTGCTCCATGGTTGAGTGTCAGGCTTCACATACTGTCAACAATAGCTATTTTTTAGGGATATTTACAGCTTCTTTCATCTCTTATTTTTCTTAATTAAAAGTAATAATGTGACCATCAAGTTAAAAATGAACAAAATTTATGCAAAAAAAAAGGGACAATACATGCTATTAACACCTATTGAATAAATCTACCAATTTTTTTTTGGCCGGAATGAACATATGACAAAAAAGAATATTCCACAGTAGTAATAATAATAATAACACCATTAACCTAACAACAATCATTATAGTTATGGCATAGTATAATTGCTGATAAAACCAGCCAACGCAGCATCAATTAATTAAATATCTACAAATTTTGTATTAGTTATGGTTTGTGTCAAGTGGAGCTGAAGCGAAAATTTCAAGAGTGGAATTGGTGAGCACAAAGCCTTGGGCCGATATATCTTAAAAGGCCGGCCCGAGAAAAAGCGCGGGAAACCGTTTTCCCTTTGTATCCCGTTCCTACTGATTTAGGGCAACAGGTTCCAACTCTAAATTCTTTTCCCCCTTGCTGCAAACCTAACGATCGGAGACGAAGCGGAAGGCCATTTAATGGACCTCGATGCCTTTGAGTCGCTGGCGGAAGACGGGGAAGGCGAGGAGCAGGAAGAGTTCGGGTTCTCCAGGAATTATTTTCTTGCAAGAGAGCTTGGTGGAAGAAGCCGTAAGAAGTGCGTGATATTGCTGACGAGCAGGTTTCGGAACCCTACCTCAAATCTATGCCATCCTTTCCTCTTTTCCGGATTGGAATTTCCAATTATTTGCAGCTTTTTTGAGTTGTGGATTTTTTTTTTTTAAATTTGCGATATAATGTGTTGAAGCATGGATTTTCTTTATGATCTTTGTTAGGTTTTAAGAGCAGCAGCATCGGAAATAAGTCCGAAAAATGAGGCAGGGATTGCGGCTCTGCTGAGGAGTTACAAGGGCCAGTATTCCCAGTGGCTTTTTGAGCTGAGGTCTGCAATTTTGTTCTCTAAAGATTTTTTTGTTTGCTTTGAAAGCTTGATATTATAAATTTCATGACCTATGAAGTCGTTTAAAGCCTTGCTAACCTTGGCCCTTCGAAGTGAAGGTTTCTGGAATTTTATGTTCCATTCCTTAGTTTTTTTGTGGAGTTTCGGGGAGGATAATTTGGAATTATTGAATTAGGATCTGATTTTTGAGAGTGACAACTCACTATCCCAAGTTACAAGGTTCACATGGCTCTATTTATTATTGAAGCTGTAACATCTTGCGTTAAATAATTTAAATTGATATTAGTTATTGGGACTTAGTTGCTTTCACTACCTGCGAGGGAGGGTGAGGAAGGTTTTGCTTCTTTATTTGTAAGAAAATTGAAGCTTTAATGATTTTTATATTAAAATAAGTACAACTAGATCATTTGTTGCTGCCTAATTTTCCTTGAAAAAAAAATCGTATCATTCGAAAAAATGTATGTATTACATAAATATTAGAAGTTATTTTGTTAGAAGGTATTTTTATTTATTTTGTTGTTTTTTTTTTTATATGTATTTCATAATCTATGCATTTCCTTTTAATCATTTGGCTGTTATTAGTAAAAATTCAGGTATTATATCTTTCCCTTTTTTATATCCTTTGTATCATAAATTTATAATCTGTTCCCAAATTCTAATCAAAGTCACGAATCAAACCCTAGTCGCCGGGACTTCCTGCACGCCTTCTCCGACAACCTTTTTTGCCGCTAGCCTCCTATCCTTCATGCATACCTTCTTCTGCAAGCCCTCCAGCTGCCAATTCCTTTAGGTCAACTTCTAAGTCTCCTTGCTGACTAAATCTCTTACAGGCCTTCAGATTTCAGCCGCTGTTTGCTGTAGGTTATATCTCCTGCAGTTTCTTTCAGCTGCAAGCCCTAACCTTCCCTGCCGGCTTGATATCCTTCCAGTCTATCGAATCAGATCTCTTGCCAACAGAGATTCCTCCTACCGGTCAAAACGTCACCTACGGGCCCCCATTTTTTTTTTCTGTTGCATAAGGGACCATCTACCTTTATGTCCCGGAATCCAAACCTCATCTTTGGGTCTGTCAAATCATTGCGGACTTCACCCCCAAGTCTTCTTTCGACGGTGTACTTTGAGTCCATCGGAGGATCGACACTGACCACAATCCTTTTGCAGACTGGAGGCCTGGAAAATCACACAAATTTCTTGATCGCTACCCATAAACTTAATGGCTCTAATTTTCTCCAATGGGCCTAAGCCGTGTCATTATTTGTTAAATGATGCAGAAAGTTTGGCTATCTCATAGGGATGATTCGAGAACCTCCAAAAACTGACCTGATGTTTGGAGCGTGGGAAGTGGAGAATTTCATGATCATGTATTGGCTTATCAATCTATTGAGACTAGGATTGATCATTTGTATCTATCTCTTTCGTCTGCAATTGCACTATGGACGGTAGTTCGAGATTCCTACTCGTACAAAGGAAACTCGGGCCAGCTTTATGAGTTTTTAAGAAGATCCACAAGGCAAAATATGGATCAAGGACCATAACCCAAGATTACAATGACTAGATGGTCTTATAGATGGAATGCGATCTCTCCTACGACTGCACATGTTACTTTTTGGTTCATTTTTCCCTCTTCCATAAAATTGTGGAAAAGGATCGTGTGTTCCTATTCTTGGTAGGTCTAAACAAGGATCTCTAAGAAGTCCGGGGTATTCTTGGTCTTGATACCCTTCCTTCAGCTCGTATTGCATTCACAGAGGTACATCGTAAAGAAAGTCAGAGACTTGTCATGCTTGATACTTCCACTCCTTCAGTTGAACCATTTGTCTTGATCTCTAATAGTGCTAAACCCTCTTTTACGTCATCACGGGCTAATAAATTCACTTTTGATTACCGTCACAAACCCAATCATACTCATGACAAGTGTTAGAAATTTTACGGGAAACTAACGTATAAACTTTCAACCAAATCCTCAACTGCTAAGGGTCTTACTACGGCCTTAGAAGACACGATAGCACAACCAATTCCCACTAGGAACATCTCAGAATCACCAGACTCCTTTAAGAGGCAAATGGAGCATTTGATTAAACTACTTGGATCTTGTCAGTTATCTTTCAGCACATCGACCTCCGGTGTTTGTCAATGTAACATTCCGGTGATACTGTTTTTTGCTTCTTCTAATCCGTGGATTATTGATTCAGGTTTTATATATTATATGACCGGATGTTTTCAATGTTTCTCCGTGCATTGGGAGAGATACTATTAAAATTACTGACGACTCCTATAGTTCCTAATATTATTGGATACACTTAATTTTTTTTTTATTTACACATATTTTTGAATGACACTGCGCTTTAAGGAAAGCTATTTTAATGTTTATGATGCAAGTATAATAGGTAGGAGCATTGGAACGAATTTGGATCGTATTGGAGTGAAATATAACCAAATGTAGCAAATGTGCTCACTGTGGTCTGGCGCTTAGGCACCCACTTTTGGTCGTCATGGTGTTGCAATTGAATACCTTGGTGCCAGGTTCTAGGCGCTTAGACGCCCAAGCTTTTCTAGTAGACAGAGAGCCTGACGCCTAGGCGCCGTGGACTAGGCGCCTAGGTGTTGCAGTTCAGCCAATTACTTTCTGCACGGCTCATGGAGTTACTTTACGGGCCCTAAAAGTTCAGACGGGGAGTTTTGGCAATCTTAGGAGTAGGGAAGAAGTTTGAAGTTCTGGAATTCTCGAATAACAATAGGTAGGAGTAGAAACTCTTGTTCTAGAGAGATATGAGTGAGGAATTTGATATAATCTGTAAAAGAGTTTACAACCACATCTTGTGTAGCACTGTAGAAAACATCATATCGCGGAATTTGCTTCTCTTTTCAGAGGAAAAAAAATTAAGTATCGTGTGTAATCTTATTTGATCATTGTTGTAAACATATTTTTAGTTAATTTATTTGGATTGAATGAAATTTTCTTTGATGTTTATCATGTGAAGTGAGTAGATTTCTTATATTTTTTTCTTGTGAAAGATAAGTTAGATTTTGTAGGGCTGTGAATGCTTTGAATTGATCTTTATTTTTATGTGATGAGTATATCTCTAGACTTAATTTACATGTTGTGTTAACCATATAACTTGTTAAAATTCGTTGCGAATGACTATGAAAGATGAGTTATGAGGCAATGCAACTTAGGGAGATGCCTATCAATATAGTTTGAACTAGTAGTTTCACGGGTGACAGATGGAAACAATCACGTAAATTTGAGTCATACTCATTTATGCACTTGAAAGAGGGTAAATGAGTTTTATGCTTTTGTTGTCACTAGCACATTACATTTCTTATTATTAACGCCTACAATAGACCTAGGAAATCACAAGAGAGAAGTACCTTTATCAATCTTGAATTTCATCTGTTTAATTGATCTAGCAAGTTTAACTTAGGGGTAGAAATATACTTAGGAGTAGTTGTTAGAAAAAACATATTTAACGATCTTTCATACTAGGATCTGAAAGTAGTAGACTAGAATTCACATTTAGGTTGTTATTAATACGAAATCTCTGCCACCTTCCCTGTGAGATCGACATTCCAAACTCAAGTAAAGTCTTATATTACGAAAGCGATACATTCACTTGCGTAAGAATCCTAGCACATAGGTGGAGATTGTGAGTTAAATTAAATTATCATTAAAGTGTTGGTAGCTGTTGGGGTCGTCAAGCTTTCTGGTGCGTTGCCAGGGAAGGAAGGAAAAAAAACTTAAGGATAATTTTAGTTGAACCTATAAGACATATTTGAAAATTGTGGTAGTACTTAATAATTTTAATTATTGTGTGTATTTTTAAAAGAAAATCCAAAAATACCAACTATATTTTTGAGTGCCTGATATTTATCTTATTAGTTAAACTTTTAAAATGGAATGCATAGTTCAGAAGCTACAGACCTTGAACTCTTGCCGTGAATTTGGATTGGTCATTCTTGACACCAACAAGATGTCAAGAATGTTTTTCGTAACGACAATTTTACAAACGAGGTGTACATATCTCTATCTCTAGGCTTTAACTCTACTTTTTCTCAGCGACAAGTGTATCGACTGCAAAAGTTTTTCTATGTACTGTAGCAATCCCCTCGGGCCTCGTTCGACAAGTTCATACAGGCAGTAGTAGGCCATGGGTTCTCTCAGGCCCATCAGATTATATTCTCTTCTTTCGACATTCCTCTAGTGGCCAAATTGTCATATTAATTGTCTATGTCGACGATATTGTGCTTACAGGTAATGATCTGTCAGTTTTGGAATATCTTGAAGGCATCCTCCCCGCATTCTTTGAAATGAAGGAATTGGGGTCTCTCGATACTTCTTAGGCATGGAAGTTATCCGGCCCTCTCGGGGCCTTTACCTTTTCCAGTGCAAATATGTGATGAACTTATTGACAGAGACTAACTTTCTACTTTCCAAACTAGTGGTTGTTCCAATAGACCCCAATGAGAAATTGGTTGATGTTTCTAATGTTGCTTCTATGAGCATGACACTACCAACATCATGTAGAGAACTCATTTATCTCGCCCTTACGAATCCCAATATTTGCCATGTGGTTGGTATTGTAAGTCAGTTCATGCATAATTCCTATGAGCACCATCTCACAGCTGTCCACCGCATCCTCCATTACTTAAAAGACACAATGAGCTCAAGTTTGTTATTCTCGCGCCACACTTTTCATTCTATTGCAGTTTATACTGACATTGATTGAGCCAAGTTCGTCTATGATCAGCATTCAATCTCGGGCTATTGCTCATTCGTGTTGGGAAGCCTTGTCACCTGGAAAAGCAAGAAAAAGTCGGTGGTTGCTTGAAGCAGTGCAGAAGCTGAGTTTCGTTCCATGTTTTTGGGAATCTGTGAAACGCTCTGGTTAGGCATCATGCTTCTGGAATTACATGTCGGTCTCTACTCTTATATAACTATTCCGTGTTAATAAAGCCACCATTAGCATTGCTCATAATCTGGTTCAACATGGTCACACCATTCATGTAGAGATTGACCGTTACTTCGTAAGGATAAGCTCGATTCTGAGGAGATTTTGTATTCTATTTGTCTTATTTAGTGGTCAACTCACAAATATTCTCGCAAAGAACTTTCCCTAACCGTTGTATGATGACTTCAAATCCAAGTTGAATATGATTGACATCTATGCTTTAAGTTAAAGGGTAGTATTAAAAGTTATTTTAATAGAAGTAATTTCTATTTATTTTGCTGCTTTTAATGTTATTTTTTTATATGTGTTTCTTATTTTATGCCTTATATTATTATCTTTTGGGTGTTATTAGGAAAGCTTTGGGTATTAAATCTTTCATTTTCTATCCCCTTTTATCATATATTTATACCATTTTTGTTGCTCAATAGTATTATTATGCTCTATTCTCAAATTCTACATTAACTATGAATTGAAACATCTTCATAAAAATTTACGGCTTAAATCCTTAGAAAACACCTCATTTGTAAGCCTTCTTCCTTAGAGCATAATCATGAAAAAGTTAGTTTTGGGACAAAATATGTTTATAAATAGAAAGCTTTGTCTATGCTTAAATCATTGAAATTTTATGCGAAGTTTGGTGGTGAGCATAAGTTGTAGAGGGATATTTAGAGTGCTAGGGTATAACGAGGAAGGTAGAAGAATAAGAAAAAGAAGAAGAGGGAGAGTGAGGAAAAAGAAAATGCCTTAAGTACCAACAATTTTTTGGAAAACTCATGAAGAATTAAAAGAATACATTGAATAAATTTCATCTCACACCGCAATAAATGGAGCTCATCTTATTAAGTTGGTAGAGAGATAAATGCATGGAGAAAGAAAATTTGGACAATCTTCTAGAAAACAATATGGAAGGTTAAGGAAATGTTACTAATATTTTCTTTGCTCAAAACAAGCTTCATTTAATTTTATTTTTGTAGGCGACCATGCCTTTCTGAATATTGAATTATGCATTTTATGATATTCCTAAGTTATATATAATTATTTCTCATGCTTATGTTTATCTTATATTATGGAGATGATTTTGATCGTTAGGAAGTTCCTTATGAGATATTACATTTTTGGAAATATTTTTAACATGTACTGGTTTGCATGCCAAATCAATGGGATTTTGATCTTTGATTGAATTCATGAGTATTTTCTTTTGTGATCGATATATGTCAGATCATGTATAGCTTAAAATTGGATAGAAAATAAGTCCAATTCATAATATTGGCTCATGGATAGGCCCATTTGGTTTGATTCGGGCTCCATCCAGGCAAGCGTTTGATTCAAAGTTTAAGTGGTTCAAATTTTGAATGACTTTTAAGCTATAAGCTAAATTCTCAGTATCCTAGTCTATAGTTAATTTATGGTTCACTTTTGTATGTTCTTAAATTCTTATTCAAAACCCTAATAAATTAAGCATTTCTTGTTTCATTTTTACTTGCTTCAGGTGTGGGTTTGGCCTCTTGATGTTTGGATTTGGTTCGAAGAAAGCCTTGCTTTTGGTTCGAAGAAAGTCTTGTTTGAAGATTTTGCTTCTGCAGCATTAACTGATTATGATGTGGTTGTCATCAATGGTTATCTTCCCTCAATTAACCTTAAGCAGGTACTCTTTTCAATAGATGGAAATGATATTGGATTCCATTGTCTTTTATATGTAACCTCTTGTCTCATGCCTTTTGCCTGCTTATGTTTGCTTTGTTTGTTTGTATTCCAACTCTCCCACCAGCATGTTGAACTTCAGCATCATGTTCTGAACAAACTAAGAAGCTTTTTCTTTTTCTTTTTCTTTTTTTTTTTTTTGACAAATTCAGGATAATAGTGTTCCAATTCGCTAGAAAATTATAAATGCGTTTGCAATCTGTTTTGGAACTCTAGAACTCCATTAATTGACGTGCTAAGTTAATATGGTACATTTTGAATCTAATGCGTGGATATGCTTTATGAAACAATTTTCTAAAGTAATATTTATGCATTTTAGATTTGAGTGATTTATAAATAGATTTGTTGCACTATTTTTATTAGCAACTATAATGTGCATCTTGGTTCTAAATCATTTAAACAAATTGTTATTTGAATTCAAAAGGACTTGCTGTCCTTGTAAAGAATATTTTTTTAAATGATTTTACTTTTGGTCAAATATATTAATTTATTATCATTATTAGTCTTATTCTTAATATTTTGGGTTAGTTTTATATTATCTTCTTCTCAACTAATTTATTTGAGTGCTAAATGAAGTGTTATCTAATCTGCTCCTTTTCTTGGAGGCTTTTTCAACGTTATGTTTATTTTATTAATTTTTTTTTAATTTCATTGCATTATGTTTATGTCCTTGCCTTATGGAGTAGAGTTCTAGCCTCCATCATATATACTCTATAATATTTTATCAATTTTTGTCATTTTATCTGGGCTAAGTGGCTTTCAGAGTTTCTCTAACAATTTATCGTTTTCTTCTACATCCATCTTAAAATTTTCATCTTTGCCACAATCAACTAGTTCATAAATGATTCTTTTTTTGTCCAACACTTAAATGAATTCCAGTTTAATTATTGTTTTATATAGTTAGCCTTTTATCCATCTCACAACCTCTTATAAATATTCTTGAGTTACCTTTCAATTTTAGCCACCCAAATTTTTCTTGCATTTATATTCTTGTTTTTTTAACATGAATCCAAGGTGCTCAAAACTAGTACACATTATCATGTAACCCAATACTCAATAATCCGAGAATAACTCAACAATAACCTAACAATAATCTGCGCATAAACCCACCAGATCTCTAAAAAAAAAGTGAGATTTTGTGTGAATCTTCGATTGTTGTTAGGTTGTTTCATCATTATTTAGTGTTTAGGGTTATTTATTGTCGGGTTGATTGAATGACCAACAATAACCTAAGAATAACCCAAGAAAGTAACCCACCAGATCTCTAGAAAAAGTAAAATTTTCTGTGAATTTCTATTGTCGTTAGATTATTCCATCATTACTCTGTGGTTAGGGTTATTTATCTGACTATCTCTATTGTATGCTTTAAATTTGTAGATATCTAGAGCAGAAACAGATTGCAATGATCCAATTGCTCGTAGCTTTCTTAATACTGTTGTCCGTAATGAGGAAGAGACTTGCAAACATTATTGTGCTTATGCACATTATGTTGGTTTCACTGTACGCAAGGACCACACAACTTGCTGGGCTAAATCCAAACAAATTAAGTCGAAGAATTATATTTGTGAAAAATCAGGTCATAAAAGAGAATTGCAGCTAGCCACTACTGTGAAGTACAGAAAAGCGGATACACGGACTGACTGTCAAGTAATGGTTTGCTATGCTATTGATCTTGATGGCAACTGGACCATAAAGAAATTTGTTGAAAGTCATAACCACCCTTGGCGGAATCCGGTGACAAGCACCTTCTACGTTCCAGTCAGAGGATTAGCGAGTTAAATGCAAATTTACTAAGATCAATGACAGGTTCTTGGATTAGAGCAGCTGATTCATTCAATTTACTTGCTACAGAGGTTGGTGGTGTTGAAAAATTGGAGTATACTAGACAAGATGCATACAGCTTCATTCAAAGGGATAAAAGAAGCAGAATTGAACAGGGTGATGCCAACTCTCTCTTACAATTATTCATGGAGCGCCAAAATGAAGATAGCATGTTTGCACGGGATTTCCAAAGTGATGAGGAGGGCAAACTTACAAGCTTTTTCTGGAGTGATGGGTCTTGCAGACTAGATTATGATTGTTTTGGAGATGTCATCATTTTTGACACTAGCTACTATTTGAATAAGTATAATTTATGTTGTGCTCCTTTCATTGGGATTAACCACCATTGGCGAACGTTCTATTCGGAGTTAATTTTTTATCTGACGAGACGATAGAATCATTCAAGTGGTTTTTCAAAACCTTCATTCGTATAATGGATGATAAACATCCAATTACAATGTTTATATTATAAACATCCAATTACAATGTTTATAGATCAGGATCAAGCGATGATAAAAGCTATTGCTGATTGTCTTCCATTCACAAAACTTAGATTATGTCAATGATATATCTATAAGAAATTCTCGTCGAAAGTTCATTGCGGTGTGACGTACAAGAGCGTTAACAATTTATTTTATAAATGCATGAGCAAGTGTGATTCGGAAAATGAGTTTGAAATGAGTTTGAAGTTACTTGGGGTTACTTGGGCTCTAATGATCGAACAAGGAAACCTGCACAACATCATGTGGCTAAATGTATTGTACCGTATAAGACATAACTGGTCAATTGCATTCAATAAAGAAATTTTTGGAATGAGAATCTTGTCTACTCAAAGAAGTTAGTCCACAAATAATGTTTGTTATGGTGCATCTAAGCCCACTAGTTCTCTAACAGATTGTTTTCTAGGGCTAGAAAATATTATGAAGTCATGGAGAAGGAACGAAAATAATGAAGACTTAAAAAACTTTCAAAATGTTATTGCACCGACAGTTAAAACAAGCCTAGTGTTGAAGTAAGCTGCAACATATTATACTCGGAAACTCTACTCTCTGTTTGAGGAAGAGTTACTTCACGAGCTATGTAGATTGACAGTCGATTCCTCAGTTGAGAGTCCATCCGAATTCTATAGTAGAGGTTTGGATAATCAGGACATAAGTAGAGTCTGACTTGTTACATTTGATAGACTTAATTGCGACATCACCTGCAGTTGCAAGAAATTTGAAATGACAGGTCTGCTTTGCTCTCACTGTCTACGCATCCTCAATGCTAATAATATAACAAAGATATTTGAGAAATATTTGTTATTCAGATGGTCTGCTAAGGCAAAGAAAGATATCTATAATAGTTTTGGATACAAACATATGAAAAATTCTCGGGTTCAAATGTCTGGAACAACTTCCAGAGGAATCCTATTTCGGTCCCATGCTCAAAAGTTTACCTACCAATTAATTAATATAGCTCAGGGAAATGAACGCGTCGAGACATATATAATTGAATTATTGAAAATAGGGTCCAAAGGTATTGAAGATATATTAGATGGGAATAGTCCTAAACCAAATAGGCCAAACAAAAAGAGAAAATCGCATAACAGTGACTGCAATGTGAATGATCCCGCAAAAATGAGACCGAAAGGTATTTCTAATGCGAGGTTGAAAGAATACTGGGAAAAAAACAAGAGAGCTAAAGAAATATATCTCTACATTACATATATTTACCATTCTACATTCCATATACTAACGAATATATGCAAAATTAATTGTCTTATTATTTTACCACTATTCGCAGGAAAAAATCAAGAAACATATATGACACAAGAATCGCACAGGAATTACGACGCAAATACGATTGCGGCGTCAAACCCTCTAAGTCAGGAAATTGTCAAACCAAATCCAACATGCTCTGTGTCCAATATAATTCACCTATTATAACGTGTTATGCCCACATTAACTCATCTGTATTAATGTACAAGTTCATATAACATTATTCCAAATGGAAGTTGTAGATATATGGTTTGTAATTCACCTCTGTTGAGTACAGAATTTTGTTATCTGCTTGTGGAATAACCCAAGAGTAACCTTACAATACCCTGACTATAACCTTAGAATACCCCGATAATAACCTTAGAATACCCTAAGGATAATCTAACAATACCCCGATAATAACCTTACAATACCCCGAGAGTAACCTAAAAATACCCCAAGAATAATCTGAGAATACCCCTGGAATAACCTGAGAATACACCGAGAATAACCTGAGAATACCCCGAGAATAACCTGAGAATACCCCAAGGATAACCTGACAATACCCCAAGGATATCCTAAGAATACCCTGAGAATAACCTGAGAATACCCCAAGAATAATCTCAGAATACCCCGAGAATAACCTCAGAATACCCCAAGAATAACCTGAGAATACCCAAGAATAACCCAGCAATACCCCAACAATAACCCAACAATACCCCAATAATAACCTAAATAACTCAACTGTAACCTTGCAATACCCATGGAATAACCTAACAATACCTCAACTGTAAGATAAACATGCACAAAATAATAATATATCAAACAGATAATACATTTTTTCTCCAAATAATCTGTATCTGCAATATATCACCCGTAACCTACGAATACCCCAATAATAACTTAGCAATACCCCAACAATAACCCAACAATACCCCAACAATAACCTAACAGTAACTCAACTGTAACCTTGCAATACCCCAGGAATAACCTTGCAATACCCCAGGAATAACCTTGCAATACCCCAGGAATAACCTTGCAATACCCCAGGAATAACCTTGCAATACCCCAGGAATAACCTAACAATACCCTTAGAATAACCTAACAATATAACAATACATCAACAATAACCCAGGAATAACCTAACAAAATAACAATACATCAACAATAACATGCAGTAACATATCGAACAGATAATATATATATTCTCCAATTAATCTGCACAAAATAACAATATATCAAACAACTTAGTCTTATAAGATAAACCTGCACAAAATAACAATATATCAAACAGATAATACATTTATTCTCCAAATGATCTGTATCTGCAGATTTCATATACTAGCTCTGCCATAAACCGAGGCATCTCAGCCTGCCAGTCTTG